ACAAGAACTCACAACACCTGCATGGAAAGATGACATCATGTCACGAAGCTGGTTGTAGCTCCCGCTTACCCGCGGCCATCCATTTTTCACCTACGAATCGAATTTGCGAGGGGATGATGCGTTGATGGCGTTCGCTATCTCATGTTTGAAATGCTAATGCGTGTTCTCGATATGTGAACAGCAGAACCTTCTTTTGGGATCATACATTTGACTGCAGATATCGATGTGCAAGAAGATCCTGCCTGAAGGACACCGTAACACCACCCAGGATCCTCTGCGGTGTCGACTCCATCAACGGGTAGCTTGGGCACATGTTGGCACACAACTGTAATTAGTTGAATCTTCATCTGCAATTAGTGGAGGCAGCCGGAATCTAAGGCCTGAATTCGGGAGCTTCATTGTTAGAGATTTCTGGCGCTTGGTAGAATCTGTAGATTCCTGAATTGAGCTCTCAAAGACTTGGACTTGAAATCCTGAGCTGTAGGCACCATGCATTGAACCCTGTGATTTTGTCACGCGCGGCCCTGTGCCAAGACGTCGGCGCATCACCTCCACCCTCGTGGAGGGTGCGAAGGCGGTTAGCTCTCTTGCCTACTATTTGATTAAGAACCCCAAAAGAAAGAATCATCATGTTACCCTTAAAGAGGAAGAAAGTTTTTATTCTTTCGGGGGTTTTTCAGCAATTAGTAGTTGTGGGTTCTGGGCAGGATGTGTCCGGTTTAAGGGTGGCGTCTTGGGCTTGTGGGGCAAGTACGGAGGCTTTCGATTTGAAAGGGTGCTTTTTGGCAGGTGCACATAAGGGATTTCTTGATGCGCGACTTCTATGGGGCTCTGGTTTACATAGGCAACGCCCACAGAGCTTTAATGAACAATTGAAATGGTTTGCTGGGTATTCTGATAATTACAAGTAGTGAGTGGAAGGGTTCAGAACAGCTCAGCTCAGTAGCTCAGGAAGAACTCAGAGGCCAGAAGACTTGAGATCCAGAAGCCTCGAAGCTTGTCAAGCCTCAAGCTTATAGCTTCGGCTTACGGGCTCGGTGGCATGGGCCTGGAGGGGTTTAGGCTCTGCTCAGACAGGACTTCAGCGACTCGCCACGATTTTGGATGGCCCAAAAATGCGCCACAAGATCGATCGCATATGAGGGAGAACACAAATCAATCTTCAGTTTTGAATCTACGAGGAATTTTGACGTGCGAACATCGTGTGCTTGGGCAGGTCCTGGCCAAGTGGAGCGACGGGCAGCCGCTGGTCGCTGGGAGCTCAGAGACCTTCAATGGAGAAATAAGTGGAGCACGCACGTGTCTGGTATGTTTATACATATATTCATAAACATGTATATCGCTTAGATATGATACATAATATTGTATATATATATATATACGTAAATTAAGAATTTAACTATGTACATCCTCTTCTGGAGAGCAGGTTGCGGTGGGACCGGGGATGTTGTAATCCTACTGTCCATTTCAAATTTGGAGCACCCGTAAACAGTATAATCCCTGCCCCCTTGCAACATCAAGAGGAAGAAGTTATGTTTATGAACACACAGCCATGTTCATAAGCACTCTCCGAAAGACCCAGACCGAAAAGACAAAAAACAATGACAAACTCTTGAAGAGCAGTAAAACCTCTGCAGGGCGGCATGAAACCAAAGCAGAAATGTCAGTACACACTCCAAAGCAGCAACTACCTGAAAGTGTGGTATGTCAAAACGCAGGCCCCGTAGCCTCCTCTCCGGTATGTATATATATGTGATTATGTGCGCGTATATATATATATGTATATATTCTATGCAAACGTAGATACAATGTTGCGCACGCGTCGATCATACAAATTGAAAGATGCAACCCACTGGAATGTGGCGGCCACAGACACAACCGCCAAGCGATGTGCTCCAACTCTCCTACTGCAATCCTGAACCTGCTATTAGATAGCTGACATCAGAAGCCGTTGGCGGAGTTCACGAAAACATCTTCGGAAAACCATGCCGACAGCCAGCAAAATGGGTGAGTCTTGAGAGTTCGGCATGCTATCTTGTGAAGCGGCGAAGCTGCGATCCTAACATCCCGACCTCTGGCTTTTGCAAGCGTTTGCCGTTGCAAAGAAGTAGCAATCTGCTTTCTGCCCAAATGTGGAGCCCTGGCACAGGTCCAGCATCCAGACAAGAATGTCTTCTCCATCTCACAGCGGGCCTGGCCCTAAGACACTTGCTAAGTGGCCTGACCGTCTCGGCTTCGCGAAGGTTGCGCAAAAAACCAACAAAGTTTGTGACGATAAAGATCGGGACTGGCAGTATCAGGATGGCCGGACCACCCGTCAGACCCAAGAACCGTCTGCAAGGAACGGCATGGAACAGCACCATCAACACAATGGATCCATCTAGAGTCAGGGGAACTGTGCCATTCTGCGTGCCGCCATGCCGAAGACTTCCCGCCACCAGGTCAGCCGTATCTTCGAGCTTGATGATGACTTAGGCTGGCGATCCGATGTTTTGGGCAGGATGCGGTCGGATCAGCAAACATAGCCATAGCGTCAGTGTTCTGTTCGGGAGTCAAAGGTCGCCCTATAGCGGCTCGAAATGCGCCAGCTTTCACCGACCCCGGCCCCACCCCCTCCCCCCCATGGTCTCCCCCCCCACCCCCCGTGGGTTCAGGGTTTTCACTGCCCCCTGCGGTTTAGGGCAGCCCGCAGTGAACCTACAAGTATGAGCATGATGAACTTTTGAGGTCAGCCAGTGAGGTGGTATCTAGATTTCAGGAACGGTATTCAGGAGTTAGTGCGGCTCATGCTGGGCCCTCTTGGGCTGCCCTGAGCCAGAAACCCATACGTACGATAGCAAAAGGACCGAAGCAAAAGAGAATAGGCCATGACGACACCCTCCAGCTGGTGCTGAACGTCATGGTGCAGGCTCTTGCCACACGTGCAAAGGCTTGAAAGGAATTGCCAGCTAGGGGTTGCACAAACTGCTGTCACGTGCTGTCCTGCTAGTTTTGCAGACTGAGACGTGGCATTTGATGCTTTTTGTTGGGTATGGTTGAGTCATGTTCTGTTAGAGCATCTCGCATAGCATTCGCAAAGCCATGCTTCAAACACAGGGGGCCTGGGCTGAAGTGTCCATTCGAAACACATTGCGACCCCTGTGCACCCTCGAGCCCGCGAACCTGCAGATCTTCGCTCGGATGCTGACTGCGCAATTGTGGGCTCTGTTTCATCGACTGATCTCTTCGAAGACCCGAGATGCAAATCACTCAACGCCGCATGAATATCCAATTGCCCAAAACAGCACAGAATTCGCATGTGAATGTCGGTGCCAGAGAACGAAAATAAAAGAAACTGAAACAAGACATAAAAAACCAGGAGAACAGCTAGGATACGAAACAACACGCATGCAAGGCCGGGAAGCAAGCGAAGCGGGTACGTGGCCTGCGGCGTAGGCTCCTTATGCTCCGTACATGCGGTCTTCATGGTTCGTTTCCACTCTGGCCTTAGCTCGTACCTCGCGTAGCCCGGCACACTAGCTCGCTGGAACCAAGGACTGACATCAGTGAAGCCAGGCTGGGAGAAGATCGGATGGCAGAGGAGTTGCCGAGTCTGAAATCCAAGAAGTCAAGAGGTACCTGTAGCGTATTAAGAAGAAGGGAATCTCGCAGTCGCGCGCCTCTTCTGGGTAGTTATTATTCTCGAAGCAGCATGCCAAGCCACTCGTAGTTATATCTGAAAGCTGCAAGAAGAAGTCGGTGAAAGGCTCGAGAGTAAGCAGAGAGTGTGCAACTGTGCATGCGTAGTCAGCAGCCAGCATTGCATGTGAGGCCAGGCAGATTCCCTGTTGACTGGTGGAGTCAACGTTTCATTGTGAGGGCCGGAAGCTGATCCAATCACAGTTTGGGCTGCAATGAGGGCAGAGGGCCGGCAGAGGGCCGCCTTTGCAGCCGCTCGAGAGGGTCTCGAGAGCTTCTCGACGAGAGCCTATGAAAGGCAGCTTGCAGCTTGCAGCATGAATGGCTGCTTGCCACTGCCGTCCGCAGTCTGCGGATGCATAGGAGCAGGGAAAAATTCGACACTAGGGTGACGACCAGGACTTGCAGATGCTTTCAGTGCCCCCTCTGTTGACAGCTTCTGTGCATCCCTGCACCGGAAACGGGTCCGTAGACGGACAAGTGGCAGGAAAGAGAGCGCCTGCTCTTATCGTATTGGGTGAGCTTTTGAAATCCCGTTTTCTGCAGGACCTTTCTTTTTTGACCCCCCAGGCGTCTCTCTTCGGTAGCCACGTGGAGCTTGCAAGAGCGTTGTGTACCTGTTATCTTCATTCCTGTGTATGCGCAGCCAGCGAGCTCCGAGTGGCCCCTGCGCGAGGGCCAGCATGGCCAACAGTTACAAGTTAGGGAACCCATGGGAACCCAGTAAAACAGATGAAAAGTGCTAGAGTTTCGGAGAGCAGGCATGGGACGATATGGGACGAAGTCGGGTTGACGTTTTGGAGTTCTGGATGTTCGTTCAGTTGCGTGATCCAAGTTCAAGCGGACACATGCCTATCACATGCCTGCATTGGTGGCTAGTTTGACTGACGGGGCGATCGCAAGCTTCGATTGCACCCACAGCGGCCGCCCAAAGAAAAATGCGCACAGGCAGGGTAAAGATTGCCAGCCAGTGAGCTCTGGCGCTACTGAAGTAGCGCAAGGCTTTCGCAGATAGAAGCTCAGTGCAAATTACCTCCATACAAATGCAAATGGAGATGTGCACGGAGGGCTTCACACAAAAATCAGACTGCCACGGGCACGCACGTGCGGATCAACGGCTCGCAGCGGGCAAGCTGAGTGGGCGATCACCCAGAGCCCTGCTGAGCCAAATACCGTGACAGCGCCGAGAAAAGGAAGTGGAGCCGAAGCTGCAAAGCAGCAATTTTCTTGCTGCACCTTGGTGCACAAAGTGCACACAAACCATGGGTGTTGTGAGGGTTCGGCCGCAGAGTCAATGTGTAGCCATCCCAAGAAAGTTGCAGGCAATTGTGGAGACTTGGATTGCCGCGAGGCCGAAGCCAGCACGTGAAAGCACATGTAAACTACTTGTAGACTTAGGGAATCACGCTGGCGCATGTTGGCTCGTGTTGCGGTCAGCTGGGGGTTATCGTTAATCACCATAAATCCCCTGTGGCAGGTCTGATTTCTTCATCGGTACGATTGAGTCCAGGTGGGGGAACATTCTGGGGTTATTCCGAGTCTTATGCGCGCAGTTGCGTTGTGCAGTATCCCAGCACCCCCAGCGTGCCCCATATCCAGAGGATTTGGGTCAACGAAACTTCACGTCCCATCACTCCAGTCATCTCCAGTCACATGTCTTGCCACGGAGGTTTACCATGTCCATCCAGCTTGAGCGAAGCCTCCTTGGCAAACCTCATCGCACTTCGGAGCAGGACGGCTCAGCCTCAGTGCGTTGCAGAATTGTCCCGCAGATGATTTTTTTGGCTCCATTTCAGGAGTTCTGCAAGGAGTACAAGCGTGGCAAGTCATGCCTGGCCCCATCGCAAGCCCCCTGCGCGCTCCCGGAACGAAGGTCCTTATCAGAATGCCCATCAAGTGCCAGGTACAGGCATACCGCCCGCCATGGTGCACACCGAGGCCAGTACATCAGAAGCTGAGGCGCGTTTCAGGTTCGGGAAATCATGGGGTTTAGGGGGACTCAGGGCATCTCAGTTTTCGGCTTTGGGGTTGGGGCTCCTTCCGGACTCTTGGCCATGGGCAGCAAGGCTTGGCCCCGACGCAGCGAGCCCCCATAGCCCTAGCGACCCTGCCAACCGCATTCAGCACCATTCATTTAAATTTGTGTATCAAACGCATGGGATTCTGGAAAGTAACCGCAAATCCGGGAGTCTGATCGGACCTTGGCCTGCCGACTTTCTTGGGGGTCGTTCTTGAATTGACTGCACCATGCGCTTATCAGCGGAGCATAGTGGAGCCATCAAGCGCTCCCGAGGCAAGAAGGCAAAAAAACTTGCCGAGATCCATTTGTCGCGGTTTGGATTTTCAGGTCTTTGGATTTGTCTGCCGATCTACGAGCAGATCAAAAGCATGTCTCTTCTGTCAGTTAGCAGCAGGGCCAGTCGTGCCAGCAAGGAGCAGTAGGTGAATCCCACGAACTATCGCCAACAATTTGTTCGTAGTCTGCTAACTGCAAGATGTTGCAAGACGAAGGTGCTAGGACGCTAGGATAAAGGCGTTGAGCCCGAATATCCCCAACCAGCATGCATGCAGACCTGCAGGCTTCCAGCTTTCGTTGCGCAACGGTTTGTGAGTACTACGGAGGTCACTGCAGCTGAATCGGGCTCAAATCGTATGTGTTTTGCACGGAGCCAGAGGTTTCCATTCAGAAGCCCAGCAACTCGAAAAAGCCCAAAAAAAGTACCGGTTGAAGTTGAAGCGAAGCGAGATGGCATGGCAAGTACCTGCACTCGAAGCATGTAGCAAAGCCAACTTTCGCGGGAGTTTGATAGTCAGATGGCGCTGCTGTCAATGCTGTAAATGCTGCTTCCTTGGATGAGCTGCTAGATTCCGGACATGTTTGCAAGCAACGTGTCGTTGTCTGAGCAAACAATCGTAAAGATGACAGTTTGGTGCAACGAAGCTCCCCGACATTGAGTCAGGTGGCTGCTTCCGTTTAGTATATGTCGCCGTCGATGCAAACTGCGTGGGCCTTAAGGCTATTCCACGAGCATGCAAGCAGACCATCTCGAGGAACCTTTTTCTTGCCCGACCGAGTATATTTTGATGGGATGTCTTTTGGGGGGAATTGCTTTGTTCTGGTTCCCTGGTCCTTTGGTCTCTTGCTCCTCTGCCCCTGGTCCCTTTCCTGCTTGTCTGGCCCTCTGGTCTGCTGGTCCTCTGGTCTTCTGGTCCTCCAACCCCCCCGTTAAAAGAAATAAATATAAATATTATATATATATATATATGTATATTTATGTATTTTGCTTCATATATCATACAAATCCCCCGCCCTGACACCCCCCCCCCCCCTCCGCAACTTGCAAAACAAAAGCCCAATATAATTCCGGAAGCACAAACCAGCCTGAGTCTGAGGGCGTGCGCGCACCGATGGAGGTGGCTGAGGCACGCAAGCGATTGACCATCGACTTCATGCCGCGGTAGCTTTTCTTGTTGCGCGCGTGTGTGTGTGTGTGTGTGTGTCCGTTCGTTCACGCGATTGTCTACCAAAGTCTACAGTACACCAGACCTTGCTGAAAAGCGTCCGCAGTCACAGGAGCCACTTCCGGAAGGAGCTAGTGCCGGCGTGGGTGGATGGTTGAAGGGATGTTTAGCATGTTGTAAGCACAGGTAAAGACAGTGCAGACCAGTTACATTTTTGTAGACTACCCCATATAGGCCCATGACCAACAACACAAACCCCATGCTGTCTGACCCAGGCCATTGGAGGGCTGCCGCAATTGGTAATCCAAGAAGTGCATGCTCGAGCTTTCTTTTCTCGACATGTTGATATTTCAGGTCCCCCCTTCCTCCATCCCAACCCCAGCCCCCCGCTGCACCCCCCCCCCCCCCCCCAAAAAAAAAAAAATCAAGGGCAATCGGTTTGGGGAAGCCTCTCTCAACCCTCAACTCCCAGCCCTCTAGTTGAGCTCGACCCCGCTTCCAGGGTTCGGATTTTTTGGGGAAGTTGTTTTTTATGTTTGGCAAGTTTTAAGAAGACTCGTGCTTAAATGCCCAGCACTCACAGACTGGCATTGACCCCATCATCGGCCCCATCACCGAAGTCTTTGCAGGAAAAGGGCGCAGATGACGACGGCGACGTGGAGAAAGGAGCTTCCAGGGACTAGATGATTGTTCGGTCGTCCCTTCTGTGAGATGTACGTCATCAGGATCCCCCTTCCAAGTCGAGCTTCCGGATGTTGGGGCCAGCTCCCTGCAGCCCCCTGCTGGGGTGTGTCTTCCGCTTGAGATTCGTTGCAGATGGCCGCGGCATTTGGGAGGTAATTGGGCTTGTGAAGGCTGCGTGAGACATAGATTCATAGATCGCTGCGACACCTGCAGAGGCTCGAGCATTTCCTTCTTCCTTGGCGAACACGCAGGCACTGCAGTGGCATGCTTTGAGGAGCGTGCTGTTATTATTGCCTCGGGCCCTTCTAGTACAAGCCACCGTGGTCCAGATTCTGATTCTGAACCGAAGCCCGGCCGTGTAGCGGCAAAGCGAAGAGTCTAGTGCAAGCCTAGCTTTGAGTTTACACCAATGTGCATTTTTCGTAGCAATAAAACATGAGGCGGCCACACAATGACCGGAAAGCAACGAAAAGAACTAATTAGCTTGGATTGAAATCTATTTGAGGATAATCTTTGTCTTCGGGGTGTGCATTGGCATTTTGTCTTGAAATTGTTAAATTTGATGGAAGGAAGGATGGATGTAAGGAAGGAAGGCATCACCAGAGAGAGAGAGAGAGAGAGAACAAAAGGGCCCAAACGAGCAAGGATGGTGCCGATAAGTTGTGTGATCGTCTTGTTGGGTGTACCTCTAGGGTGCTTGCAGGGGAACAGGGGTCATCTGAGTGCTGGGGGCCTTTAGCCTCCACCGTTTCAGTGCACGCCTGGGCGCGCCTAGTGCGCAGGGGGGCTCTCCCTCAAGCCCCGAAGCCGAAGAAGAAGAAGAAGAAGAAGAAGAAGAAGAAGAAGAAGAAGAAGAAGAAGAAGAAGAAGAAGAAGAAGAAGAAGAAGAAGAAGAAGAAGAAGAAGAAGAAGAAGAAGAAGAAGAAGAAGAAGAAGAAGAAGAAGAAACGTTCTTGCACCCAACACGGATGTGGCAGTGTCACAACTGCACGCGGACGCTACAGAGCTGGAGAACACCAGCGGGCGCCAACAAAGGGGAGAGTCAAAGCGGAGGAAGAAGACAGCGGCAGCAGATCAGATAGAAAGGAAAGGCCAGCAGCAGGAAAGGCAAGCGGCGGTCGGGACACCCCCAGCTGGGTTACATGTAGTTGCAGCGTGTAGGGGACCCTTTACAAGAGAGCGGGACCCTAAGCTCCTTCCCGCTGAACCGACCAGTCAAACCGCTCTCCCCGAGCAATGCAATCTCGCTTCGTGTTGCATCATTCGTGGCGACTGGTTTTCCTTTCTATTTCTTTCTTGTACCACTCCCGGAGTCTGGTGCAAATTGGGACCAAGTTTCTCACTTCATCTTCATGCATGCATGCCCCCCTAACCGTCTGCCCTGTCGCGGTTCGTCTTGTGTGCTCATGCCGAGACAAGTTTGTAAGCGTAAGGGAGTGTGTATGTGGTTTTGTCTCGAAAACGTGATCGATTCTGACGACTTATCCTGTTGGCGAAGGCATCGCAAGTTTCCCTTCTCCCACCGCGGCACCCCTGAATTCCGCAGCTTCTCGTGTCTGGCCGCGAGACCCCGGGATTGCGCGGCAACGATCATGAGAAATCGGGACCATTTCGAAGAACAGACAGGAAAAGCCTTGCTGTTCCGAGTGCCGATGGTGCATTGGTCTTGTGAACAGCCGGTCACAGTTGTAGCTTGCATGAGTGGTTGAACTTTCTTCGTGGCATTCCGTCGATCAGGACGCCGACGAACGCCCAGGCACGGAAACCGTTGAGGCTAAGTGGTTCAAAGTCTAGCCTTGGAGTGCCCAGGCTTTATGGCCTGGCATGCCTGGAATGTCAACCAAAATAGGGTCAGTCTGAACTTTGCTAGCAAGCCTTGCAAGACCCAATGTCCTACAACTTTAGACGTCTTAAACCTCGCACCAGGCAGTGCATCCGTTCCAAGCTGGCAGATTCCGGAGCTTGTGGTGTGCGCCTTTCGAGATCTCGTTGCAGTGCACAAGAGGACATTCCATTCCCGCGCCGAATTCTGAAACCTTGTCTGTTTACGAGTGCACATGTAGAGCAGCCTGTACTGACGGGACGCTCAAGGTAGAGTGCCCAAAGAGGCCCGGCGCCCGCATTCACAAGGCTCAGAGCTCAGCATGGCATCTGGAACTTAAAAATTCTGGCAGATCCTTGCGGGACAGATCCCAGCAGATGCAAGAAGACGTGAGTCACGATGCCCCTATTTCATGAAGTTTGGACTTATGCAGCTGGCCATCCCTACAAGTTTCATGTTGGAGATCAAGCTTCACCCAACCCTTAAGATGAACCTTGCACCACCTTGAAGCCCTGCTGCCATCACAGGGTACTTCGCTGATCCTGCCCGAAGCGGGGGGAGACCTGCTGGCGAGACCCTCAAAGGTTGTTGACGGTGACTTGACTGGCAGTGACGAGCATTGCCTCACGACCCGCTGCGCAGTAGTATACGACGATACGAGTATCATACTCATGGATCGCGTGCTCTGCCAACCGCTGATCAACGTCGTTTGGTCTTCCTGCGTGTTGTCTTGTGCGTCCTAACAGCCTCTGTACAGGCCTGCATTGTCAGCAGTTTGCCAGTCCTTCTACAGATAAGGCGCGGGTCTCAATCGGATGTCTTCTTGTGGGAGTTTGCGGACGCTTGTTGCCGTAGTCCGGCCAATGAAGGTGCAATGTTCTTCTAGTAAACTCCTCCTCTGGCAAGTGGATTTTTCCAAGCCGAGCCTGAACCTGAAACATGAAGCCAGCTTAGGAACGCCCCTAATTTGTACTGGAAATGGCCAAAGCTGAATAGTGTTGGCCTCTTTCAGCGAAGCTGGTATGGGCCTGCGGCCACCTCCCTCGCCCCATGCTACACACAGTTCTGTTATGACCTCGTTTTAGAATTGGTCGCGTTGGGTTTGCGCAGACCACGCTGGATTCTGGGCTACAGCATGGCTGTCGACGGCTCGCCACCTAGCACTCAAGACACATTCATACTACTACTACTGCGGCGTACATAGCTACTTTGTATTACTCTGTCATGGCATGTCGCAGCTTCATCGGTGCTTGCTTGGAGTCGAGCAGTGTCCAAGCGCCCATGAGCGCTCAAGGTTAAGTCCATATGCCACATTGTGTCTCAGAATCGCTCTGCCGAGGCGTTTCCCTACGGACGATGTATCGCCAGCTGTCAGACTCTGGGCCCTGTGTCATGATCGTGGAGGCCGCTAACTTGAGCGGAATATCCAACAGATTCACAGTGCGTGCGGATACGGCACCGGCTTGGCTGTAAAAAACTGGCACTCTCTTGCACAGTTCCAATGCACAGCCGGAACCTGGGTAGGATTCCAGCAACTGCATTTTCGGGGCCTTCCTGAGCGAGGGCTTGAGGTCCGCCCTGCTTCGCCAGCACTTGTTCAGGTTGTCAAGGCAGCATCGTTGTGCGTGTGTGTGAGTGTGTGACAATGTAATTGTAAAAGCTTGCGCGTGCCGGGCAAAAAAGGGGTCCCAGGAAGGGTCCAAGGTCCCAAGTTGGCCAGCCGGCTTCGCGCCTTTTGGAGCGCCCCCTCAGTAGCCGACAGGCGGGACCCCCACGGCATCGGTTTGCGGGGGGGGGGGGGGGTCCATCACAAAGTTTGGCACGGGGGAAGGGTTGGTGTCTGCTTGTTCCAAACGCTTCTCGGCAGGAAGCCGAGGCGAATTACAGAGGAGCTGAATGCTGTGCTGCATTGAATGCCTCACTGAAAGCATCTGGCAGCCCCTCAGGTTGTCTGACATTGTGCCACCTTCCAGCTCAAGCTGTTCAGCATGCCGTGCTAAGCACCATGTTCGGAGTGCGGTTGAAAGCACCGCTTAGCAGTCGAGCCTCGAGCTCATGTGCTTCGCGATCGAGCGCGGGCGCTCCGCGCTCACAGCCGCAGACGCCACTCCGACCTCTTCCTGCGGGCGCAGCGGCTTCCGCCCAGAGCTCCCGGCTGGGTCCCGTAGCCGCCGGGCTTTTGTCGGGCCTGTCAGTGGGAAAGCTCCGGAGGCACAACACTTTCAGACGGTCGACACAAGCGGCCGAGAGCCTAGAGCGCCTAAATCAGCCACCTGCTCAGAGTGGAAGAGCTTTCTGTTCAAACAGCAAGGGCCTTTCACCAGAATGTTGGAGGTGTTTGTGCGCAGAGTTGCGAGCAGTCACCCATGATCCATGATTGGTTGCCTTCGTATGTTTCCTTGAATGCAAAATAGCGTTGGCATCCTTCTGCCTGAGGCTTGCCAAAGAATCAGATCAGTCTTGGCTCGACCAGCTCTCACCTGATCCAGAAACAGAGCTGCATGTGCCCAACACGGACCCTCGCGAGGCGAGCAGTGGGAAACTTTTTGAAGAGCAGTCAGAAATTCTGAGCAAACACTAGCAATCTACTGAAGCACCACTACTATTACTACTACTACTACTACTACTACTACTACTACTACTACTACTACTACTACTACTACTACTACTACTACTACTACTACTACTACTACGACTACTACTACTACTCCTGCTGCTGCTGCTGCTACTACTACTACTACTACTACTACTACTACTACTACTACTCCTGCTGCTGCTGCTACTACTACTACTACTACTACTACTACTACTACTATTACTACTACTACTACTACTACTACTACGACGACGACGACGACGACGACGAGCTACTAGCTACTACCTTCTGACCACTGACCACTAACTACTAACTGCTAACTGCTAGCTAGGTGTGCGGTCAGGTCAGTATTTGGCTGCGCGTTGTGAGGCATGTTGTGGGCCCAAGGCTCGTTTTTTGTAAGCTCATTCATGATTTCGGGTCTTTTTGAGCTGTTGAGGGTTGAGGTTTTGCAAGGATACATGTTTGGGAGGTTTAAGGCTCGAGGCTTGCGTTTTTTTGGGGTTTCCACTGCTGTTTATCATCACACTTTACTGATTATGATTTATAGTTTTGATATTGTTATTGTGAGTAGTACTACTATTATTAGCCCTATTACTAGCATGATGATGCTGAACCCGAAGGCCGGGTAAGGGGAGTGGGGAACAGGCTTTCAGCTTCGGGCTTACACCACTGGTGGAGACCAAAAGCCCGGACGGTATCCCCCCAAGGTTTAGGTTTTAGGGTTCAGGGTTTAGGGCTTAGGGCCTAGGGTTTAGGGTTTGGGGTTTGGGGTTTAGGGTTTAGGGTTTAGGGTTTAGGGTTTAGGCCGATCTGCAAAGCACAGGTCGAGCAGGCCAAGACCTCAAACACAAGAAGCCCGCAAGACGACGGAAACGAAAAACAGAACTCGGAAAACGCAGTGCAAGCCCCAAAAACACGAATAATGCCCTCAAGCAGAAACTGCGAAAACTCTCCAAAGCCAAAAATCAAGCTGCGAAATGTTCAAAAACCCACGGAAACTGACACAGACTGTCGAGAAATGAGTAAGAACAAACACAAAAGTGTTAAATAGAATCCGAAAGCGCGCGCTACAGAAAGTGAACTGCTGTAGATACCGAGGAAAAACGCGCAAAAAGATTCAGCGCGGCCACGTACAGGCCGCATTCCAAGTACTAACTACGAACCACTAACTAGCAACTACCAACTACTGAGAAGATACTTTTTTTACGGTGCTACCTTTATTGCGTTTGTTCGTACTATCATGGTTACTTTTAGTATTATTACTCTCGGTTTCATGACTAGTAGTCACTACCACAAACATTACTACTAGCGTTGCTATTACTACGATTCTTTTCGTGCTCCATGTGTTTTTGTCTTGATAGCTCACTTGCAAACACCCGTGAAGCTGTCCCTCCCTCTGTGTGTGCAGCCGAGGTCTCGTAAATTTCTTGGTGGCTGTCAAAATTATGGTCCCTTTTTGGATCCCTACTACAATACGGCACCTAATATTTCGAGTACCCCAAAAGGCATCATGATTTTGACAACCGCCCATTTGTACTAGCAGATGTCCCGCGCAGGTCAAGTCCGGCCACTACGTGGAAGTGTGGCCGACACCCCTGCCAGACCCAAAGCTGGTCATTTATTCGCAGGAGGTTGCGCAGATGTTAAGCATCCCCGAGGACGAGGCCCCTTGGTGGTAAGAAGCTCTGCGACCAACTGTGCCCACGAGTGAGCAAGAGACAGATCAGCTTGGATCCTGTTGGCCTGAGGTTAAGTCTGGCTCCTTCACGGCCTTTTTCTCCGGACAGAGAACAGAGGTTCCTACTCTCAGGACAGGTGGGGCAACTGTTGCTTTCGTAGTGGGTCAAGATGCCATGCCACGAGGTCTTGGTGTACCCCGTATGCTCTGGCCATCATGGGTCAGCGCATGGTGTCGAACTGCCCCTTTGGCAACGGCAACGGGTATGGTGATGGCCGGGCCATCTCTGTCGGGGAGCCGCTTGTTGAAACTCTCTTGCTTACCTACAGTGTGAATTAGAAGCCAGTCCCATGACTTTGTGTGTGCGTGTGTGTGTGCGCGCGCATGCGCGTCTCTGACGTCTTGGCAAGCAGGCGAAATGTTCGAAAAGCTTGTTTTTGCAACCCTTCATTTTGTGCGATTCTGCGTGTGTGCTTTCCTGTGCTTGCTTCCAAGGCTTTTAGCTGAGAGCGGGCGCTGGGAGCTGCAACTGAAGGGCGCCGGGCGCACGCCCTTCTGCCGAGGAGGCCGAGATGGAGAGCTTTAATGACAGACGGACAGGGAGTCAATAGAAGCAGAAACTGGAAACCATTTTGGGGCCAAGCCTCCAAGGCGACATGGTACAACTGATATGCCTCGGGTATGTCAACAAGTGAAAAGTTTCGAGCTTGGAGTGGTCGTGATTTGGCACCAAGGCGATGGCCGCGCGGTGCTGCGCTCATCCATCCGCGAATTCCTGGCGTCAGAAGCCATGCATCATCTAGGACGCAGGGTTTGTTGTGCACGTGATGGTGGTTGGTTTCCGGCAAGTGCCAGGCCAATTACCACGCAACCGTACCATCCTCGCAAGGAGTGGAAACCACGCGTGCGTTGTGCCTGGTGGTCTCTGGTTCAGAGACTGTCCGGCGCCCGTGGTATGCCGAAGATGGCAACCCCATAGGACCGATGCATAACGAGTTGGCTGCGCCATTCCGCTTTGCAAGTTTCATTTTTGTTCTGATGCCGCACACAAGTGCCGACAAACTTTGCATAGGAAACCTGTACGCCTCCCGAGAGCCCAACACGATGGTGCAGGAGGCCTGCGCGATCACCACAAGGTCGGGTGTAAGTTCCAGCACTGTTCCAGCACTTTAATCCCCCTCAGACGAATCGCACTCAACCGGGCGCAACGAACGCACACGAGTGCAAAGCTTGAGCAGCTTTAACCCACACCCTGACAGGGTTGCACCGAGCTTCCTGCGGGTTGGCCACGTCGACCTCTTCGCGCGGCGCGCGGCGGCCAGCCCCGAAGGGCCTGCCATGACAGAGTTGGAGCAGATCGTGGAGCACGCCCTCTTCCGGGAGTGCGCTGGGCTGACACGAGGGCTGCTGTACTGTGACATCCTGCTAGATAACCGACAAGAGGCTTTCCTATCCAGGTATATAGAGGAGATAGAGGAAATAGAGGAATTCTTGTATTGTAGAGGAAATGAAGGGTTGAAGTCATGAGACAACGGAGTTCTTGTTGAAACCTATTGAAGAATCAAGAAAAAGAAAGGGTGCAGAGCGCGGGGTGAACATGTAAGTTTTCCTATTGGAATACAGAGGCCACCAGGCTTTCTAAATTACAATGGAGATAGAGAGATCAAGTTTGGAGGAAGCAGGGCCTTTCATGTATGCAAAAGCAAGAGCAAATAAAGGTGTTCTGCTGAACATAGAGGAAAGAGAGGATCTCCCAGTTTCCTTCTGAGGACAAGGAGGTTTCCTTATCTACGGAGGAAATAGAGGTTTAGGTTTTCGTAACCGAAGGGAAAGACGAAAGAGAGGTCATCCCGTTTTTAAGTAGAGGAGGAAATGAATGTTTCCGATTAAGACATAGAAGAAGAACTGAAGAAGACATATGTCTCATGCGCGCAGAGAGGAAAAAGCGGTTTCCTATGGTGCCCTGCCCTTGTTTAGCAAACAAATGCCTGGCAAGTCCCATCAATGTGTTCGCGAATGCCTACCTGTTCTCATCCTCATCCATGGTTTGCAAAAGGGGCGGAGGGAGGCTTGCGTCCCCCCCTGCACACGCCTGCCTTGCTTACAAAAAAGCAAATGCCGGGCAAGGCCAATCAGAGCTTAGCAAAACTCGTCCAATGGTTTGCACATGGGTGTCGGTTTGCACATGGGTGTTTGCGACCCCCCCCCCTCCTTCCCTCCAGCCACGTTTGTTTTTGCACCAAGAAATGCCCGGCATGTCCCAAGAAACTATTCCAATTAAGATGCAGCGGAAACGGAGGGTTGATATCAAGAGAAAGCCGAGGAGTTCTCCTTGAAACCCAGATAGAGGAAACTGCGATTTTTTTGAACTGTAGAAGAAAGAATAGCCGAGAGGAAATGTATTAACATCCAATAAACGGGAGAGAGACAGAGTGAGAGAAAGAGGGAGAGCGAGAGAATGCTTTCCAGCAGTTTGCGACATGTGCTGACTTGGAATGCAAGGGTGCGCCTTGCTCGCGGGGAGGCAGGAGGACATCCATCTCCAAAAGACTGGAAAACACGAAGGAAAAGCAATGCTTTACTTATGAGAATAGGCGAGGTTTTTGTATGAACATCTAGAACTTAGAGTTTACGGTCAAACAACATATGTAAATAGGCAATCCTTGTTCCTCCATATCTTAAATTGAAAGCCTGTACTCGAAATTCGCACAGCATCCCTAGGCCCTAACCCCTAGTCGTTTTAGTTGTCGGTTTCCTTGCATTTCATTTTCTCATAGACTACTCGGATCATCAATGGTTTCAGAAGTAAGCCTGTATATAATGTCTCTCTGCACCTTTATTAAACCCGAATGCCTCTGTAGTTTCGACTAGAACAGCGACAGTCTACAGTGTATATATATATATAAATATGTATATGAAGTGTATATATATATATATATCAGCTCCGGGAAAAACATTTTCGTTCTAGAGTCAAGAAATAGAGGCTTCCTATGAGAAGTTGCTGATTCTCTAAATCTACAAAGAGTGCGGCTTCGACCACTGGGATGCGCGCGGGACCTCGGCGAGAGCATCGGGCAATACGCGCACGGGATGCAGGCAAGAGCGTGAGTGCGTGTGGGACCCCTAAGCCCGAAGCCCTAAACCCTAAACCGTTTGACCGTGGAATGTGACGGGGACCTCGGCGAGAGCGTGGGTTTGGACATGGAACGACGATGCAAAACCTCGGGTTGTTTTCATGCCCAACCCACCACCCCTCCCTCCCCCCCGCCCCTCCCCTTCCCGCCCCTCCCCTTCCCGCCCCTCCCCTTCCCGCCCCTCCCCTTCCCGCCCCTCCCCCCCCCCCCCCCCCCCCCCCCCCAAACAAAAAAAAAACGACATCCAAACAAAGAAGCTGAAGTTCTAAGAGCATTTTCGGACCAACACCCTAAACAATGCAGAAGCAACGACACAAGAAGCCACCGGATCTTTTGAGGTACCCCGAGATCGCTCAACGCCCAGAGCCACTGCCCGACCGTGCGGTGGCCATGCTGGAGGCCAGTATGGGTAGTTGTCTAACTTAGGGTTGTTTTTTTTGTTTGGGGGGGGGGGGGGGGTTCCTTTTGATAAGGTGCCGTATTATACGGGTTGGTTGTATAGGGGGCCCACAAGGGGCGCGAATTTAGAGAACTGCCCGTATGAAGAGTTCAAGAAGTGGTTGGATGGCTCTACGAATGAGCATCGACTTGAGGCTCTGAGGCATCGCAGCACTGGCGTTCTCTGCGTCAAGTGCTCTTTGAAGATGCAACGAAGTTGTGTAGCTAAATATATCATGGACCGCACCCAAGACTGCCATTCCGAAAGCGCTAGTAATTGGATGTTGCTCGTGCAAGAAGATGAAAGAGCTGCGGCAAACAGGCTTTGTAGCACTCCTGGGTTTTGTTGGTCAAGTGGCCGGTTTGCAGGCGTAGTGTAATTCGCAATTTGTGGTTGCAGTGGTTTCTGGGAGCTCCTCTTCAAAGGCGCGACAGATGCGCAGGTGATGTACTGTAACCATCTGTAGCATAAGGTAAGGCAGAGAACTGAGGCCTTTGCAGACCGGCTTGCACTGCTGGTGTCTGGCTGGCTCCGCGTCGGCTTCTGTCGCTCGGAATCAACCCACAGTTCGGGATTTCAGTTGGGTGTTGTTTGCTAGGTGTCCTTATTTGAGGGGATGCACGCGTCAATCTACTGCAGGTCAGGGGAACTTCAACTCTGACAACTGCCTCTTGGATGATACAAAGAAGCCTGTGCAAACCAGCTGGATTCATTTGCCAACATAAGTGCACACAAAGCGCATCGCACGTCAAAGCCCTGGAGTGACCATTGCATCATCGAGCTTCAAGAACTTGTAAGATTTTGCAAGAACCAGAACACACAATCTAGGCCGTCTGAAGCACCAGCCTAGCTTGCGCGAAGTCTTCACGACAGCAATGGTGAGGTTTTGTCACGAGCCTGGTACAAATATTGACATAGTAAACGCGCTCAAAGTGCTGGCCGATATGGCCTGCCTAAGCACCCACCATGCAGCTCTTTACCCCAGACGTGAATGATTGACGTCTCTTGGTTCTTGGGACCCTCTGCTGAGATAATTGTGCTTCATGATGCAAGGCTGCCGAATGGGGTTACTTCTCGGGCACCCCCCCAAGGAATCATGTTTCAATTGTCGTTTGTTTTGTGTCCCCTCCGATCCGGGCGTGAATCTCTACCACTCGGAATCCTAAGCTCGGCCTGAAAGAGGTATTGAATTTATGTTCCTGCCAGCCTCCTCGAGATGCTGAGTCACCTTTGGTGCAGAAGGAAAGCGGATCGCCATGAATTGAGGGGAACTTCTTGCAATTGTCACGACATGGCGAATACAGTTCTCAGGACGATTCCCTCAAAGGATTTACCCTGCGAAACCACCTTGAAGCCCATAAGCACTCAGCCAACAACTGAACGCAAGAGAAGCCCCCAGCACAGGCCGGTTTCGTAGTGTAGGGAACCGGGCTTTTTGGAGGCCTGGTCGGTGGCCGAACCATGGACTACGGGCCCTTCGGCTTCATTGACCGCTATGACCCGCTCTTTGCCAAGTGGACCGGCTCCGGGGAGCACTACGGCTTCCTGAACCAGCCCCAGGCGAGGCATGCGAGGCATGCACAATTAGCGCGCCTTCTGCTGTGAGGGGTGACCCCTTACGGGCGGCTTAGATGATGAACCGGTATAGTGAGGAAAACGACCATGAGAAGGTCTTGCAAGGTTTTGGTCATGCAGTGCTGTAAGGTTCACTAACTTGGCTTGGCTAAGCAGACTGGCCCAAGTAGAATGGTTATTAATCACTTGCACCCTACGCCCGGTTGCAGAATCCCAAGCCCTTTGCCGCCCCTCGATTTCTTGACGACTGTCTGATTTTGCTTGCCTTCTCCTACACATTGACTTTGTTGCGTGTGAAGAGGAAGCTACAGCACGAACATCTGACGCGTCTGCAAAGAGAAGAGAATCGGTAGCGGATTACTTTGCAGCCTCTTGCGCAATGTGCCTCCTGCTTAGAGGCTGCTATGGCCAACTACCACACGCTTGTCACTTCCGTGGCCGTGCTTCTAAAGGAGCGGCTTGGCTGAACCGTTGCAGTTCTCGAAGTGCAGGTGCACGATGCTCGCCAGCAGGTGGCCCCCACCGCCCCCCCGCCCCCCCACCCCTCCGACCTAACCCTAAAACCCCCTCACGCAAAGCCTAAACCCTAAACCCTCAAACCCTCAGCCCTAAACCCCAAAACCCTGAAATCCTTCAAAACCCTACGCAAAGACCACAAAACCTTGAAGAACCCTGAAACCCTAAAACCCGAAATCCCAAGCCACCCCCCCCCACCCCAACCACAGGGGGGCGGGGACACCATACCATCGACAGATTTCCACGAACGCTTGTCAAAGTGAGGAAAGAAGCCCCTTGACAAGAAGTCTTGCGTTGACAGGTTTTTCATCTTCCACAAACAATCTCGACTTTCTTTCTCTCCCCCTCTCATTCTCACTCACTCTCTCTCTCTCTCTCTCTATCTCTCTCTCTCTCTCTCTCTCTCTCTCTCTCTCTCTTTCTTTTTCTCTCGAATCGCCATTCGAAATGCTCGGTCACGTCACGAATTTCTCCTCGGCCACGCAAGCATGCGAAAGCGGAACGTCAAAAGCATCCAATACGTTGAGCCGAGCTGGCAGCCAAGGCGGGCCCAGGAGGAGGCAGTGCGGCTCATCGAGGCGGGCGCGCAGAAGATTCGCGCAGCTGTCCAGGAGAGCATGTGCTTTTTGTGTCAGTTCGCGAAGCTTTTCTGACGACAGATAGCCTGGTGAAGTTCCTTCCTGCGCTTATCTTGCGACTATGCATCTCGCATCACGGTCTACGAGTCTATACGGAGTTCAAATTTGCAGGGGACGCCAGGAGATTGCACAAGGCTGGCAGCGAAGACCTTTCTACATACACCCCTGGCCGGGTATATCGACTTCGGACGTCAGGTCGACAACACCTTGTGTGGTTTCACTGTTGCTTTGGGAACAATTCCTGGAGGTGATCCTGTCAAGGGTGTGACTCGTCCTCTTGGTCCTCGTCTGAATGTACTTGACGCAAGGATGACACGACAAAACACATGCTGAGTCTCTGAGTCACACAGAGATGCAACTGAAACCATTCTTAACAAGCTGCCCCATGTCTCAGAGAGAAAAGGAAGCGTTGCTGCTTAAAGAGGGGAACGAGATCAGGAACCTCAATCGGATAGAGCGACCAGCAGCTCACGAAGCAAATGAAAGCCGCCCAAAGGGGTTTGTCAAGCTTCTTGCCGCCGCGAGGACGTCTTCGCCAAGAAGCTCGGCTTTGCTTCCAGCAATGATGCTACCGCAGAGCTTTGGAAGGAGCCCCGCAGCAACCAGCCCCCAAAACAAACCCAGGCTAGGAACTGTCAACAGATTTCTGCAAAGATTTGGAGAGCACGGCTTTCGAGAGCTGCAGAAGACAGCGGCCTGAACTGACCAGAGAAGCACACGAGAGGGACAGCTGAAGGCTGAGGTGGCATCTTGAATCGACTTGGCGCATTCCCTCATATTCTGCTGCGAGGAGCTCGAGCCGCTCCTGCGCAAGTCGAAGATCGACTATACCATTTTCTGGCGTCAGCTGATCCCGGTGTTGGACTGCAGGGGAAGTAGTGAAGGGCTGGGGTGGACTACGTAAGTGTAGGAAGAGTAACGAACGCGAGGACAACGAGGGCGAGCTCGGGCATCTCGATCGTGCATTTTACGAGCCACCATCTGATGAGCTCAAGCAGGAGTGGGAGGTGTGGCTGAGGAAGTGGGCTTCGGCAGTCACTTCTGCAGAAGGGGATGGTTCTGATGGACGCCAACAAGTCATATCGAGACTTCGCGCGGAAAACCCAAAGTATGTGCCTAGGGAGTGGATGCTTGTGGAGGCCTACACCAAGGCTGCGGAGGGTGATTACAGCGTCGTTCAGGAGCTGTACAACTTGTTCAAGCAACCCTACGACGAACAGCCTGCATTCGAGCAGCAATATTACAGCCGTGGCCCGGATAATGTGGTCAGCAGAGGAGGGGTCGCGTACATGACCTGATCTTCGTAGTGGGCAGCACCAGTTTTGGGTGCTGCCATACTGACTGTGTCTTGAGGTAGAGAAAGGTGAAGCCTGGCATGCCTTCCAAGCAAGGTAAGGAATGCCTTTGCTGAGATGTCTCTACAGAACTCAAGCAGACAGGCCGTGTTGGGGAGTGCTTCGTTAGTGGTTCAAAAGTTCAAATCCAACTGTGCCTTGCTGTGGTGCCTCCCAATGCTCTAATTCGGTGCAAGATCGAGGCCACTTCCCGCTGGCATTCCCTAGGTCTGGGATGGATGGGGATGATGCGGGATCGTCTGAGTTAACGTCCATGGCAGCAATGAGCTACCGATTTTCTGATTTTCCACACCCTTTTCGCCCAGGCAATCGGGCACGAAACACCATAAGATTCATTAGATGACACCAGGAAAACAGGAGCGCGCAAAGCTTCACACAGATCGGCCCAAGGCCTCCAAGCATGCCAAGACCCTGCGACCCTGTTACCTAAGCCTTGTCGATCCCTTCTCCAGGCCGGTCTCTCAGTGCTACGGGACGCACGAATGCTTCGTCTTCCGGACCCATGGCCCTTTCTGGGTCTGGGGTTGAGAAGGCTACTAGTAGTGCACAGTTTGTAGAAATGGCTAGTTCGTCCGCTTTTAGGCTTGTGAGGAGGGCCGTTGTCACGCAATCGAAGCGGACGTGACGGTGCGTGTACTGTGTTGCATTCGTTTTGGGTTGTGTTGAGCTGCTCTCCGAGATGCTGACAGAAGCTGAGGGGCGAGGGGCGGGGGCAGATTCACACGCCACAAGTGAAAGAGTGTTCAACACCTTTCTCAACACGACTTTCAACACGAGTCTGCCGGAGCATTTGGGGGGGAGGGGTGCGCCCCTTAGGTGTAGAGAGATGAGACTCGGAATTGACACGGATCTTCTCCACTGCTCGCAAGCAGGACTCCGAGAACAGCCGGGGCCTGGCGGACAGAGGCGTGGCGAAGCAGTATCTTTGAAAGAAAAAATGGGCTTCCCCCCCCATTTTCGCAGAGTCTCACTTCAGCCCATCGCCCAGAAGAGGCTTTTTTTTCTCCCATATCAGGTCTTTTTTCATTTCGACTCTGTAACGTGCACTGGGAAACCAGAGCTCGCGCCATGCAAGGTCAAGTCACAACATCTTTTGAGGGTTTTGACAGCTTTCCCACTCTCTCTGCATCTTGGCCAAGGCTGAAGGCCTGAACTTTGGTAGCAACTGTCGGTAGCACATCTTGGCAGGTTTACGGCCGAACCGTTCAGGTCAGCTCCCCGCAGGATGCAAAGGAGGAGGCAGGCCTTGCCAAATTGGCCCATGCGGATGTTAGCCCCTGGGAGCGCCCAATTCTGGCCAGTCTTTGCCTCTTCTTTGACAGGAGGAGGCCAAACAGCCATTTCTGCAGCAACCTGGCTGCTGCAGAACCTATTATGAGCCATGTGTGATGTCGTGGTGTCGTGAATTCACACCCTCAACCCTTCGAGTGCTCGTCGTGATGTCGTCGTGCTCTGTGGAAAAACTGGCAAATTTGATGGCGCAAAGCGCCCAGGCCACCAGATCAGTCTCCAACTTCGGCTGGGTTCAGCGGAGAGCCTCTCGGCCACGGAACAGACGGAACAGTGCACTAGCTTGTGGGTGCGCAGGCGCGCTCGTGCAGGTGTTCATGGTGGTGATGCCATTTGCTTTTTTTTTTTTTTTTATCCAGCCTCGAACCTCTCGCCTTGGGACTTGCCGCAGCCAAGGAAAGCCAGCTATTTCGAGGTGGCAGTGTATCAACGCTGGTGCTGTTAGTCGCCGGAATGCAGTCATGGCGAGTGAGCGCGCAAGTGCATTGGGAAATTACTGCTTGCAATTTGCCAGGCGCTGCGCAAAGCTCAGGCCGGGAAGCCAAAACCTAGGCCTAGGGCTGTTGAAGCACAGCTGAGACAGAATGATATGGTCCTCCAGCCATCAAAAACCGGAGTAGAATGGGGGGTATTTGGACCATTTGGGACATGTAGAGAATCTTAAGAGGAGGGACCACTCTTTGGATATTCTGTGACCGTTGAAAAGATTATGGGGGTATCCTCGAAGGGGTTCATAGGCGGTCCATCCAGAAAGAGGACACTAGTGGTAACATACATAAGGGTCCATAGTGGGAGGCGTGCAGCTGGGGGTACATAGTGGTCCACTTTGAGATGCACGGTTGGCATAGAGTTTTTTCTTTTTTTTTGGGGGGGGAGGCCTCCAGAGAGTCCACAGCTAGTCTGGGGAGTAGGGACGTCTAATGAGGTCGGGGTTCCATAGGCATAAGGGAATCTTTAAGCTCGAAAGGCCCAGACGGGCACACGGGGTGTTCTGAAACATGGCACATGTATCGAAACACGGCTCTAAACTTAGGTGTGCATAGATGGTTGCTGCACTAGATCAGTGTAAACATAAGTTCAAGGATGAATAGACCCGGTAAAGACCGTGCAGTTGTAACTCTCGAATCTATCGGATTCTATCGTCTCAACAAAGGAATTACCAAGACTCCGCTGATGTAGAGTAGTGTTGTGATGTCAAGGCGATATCTCGAAGTGTCGCGTAACTATTTGTCCAATACTGTGGCCTGATGAGAAGCGTTCATGTGTAATTGTTGTTGCCTCACAGATATGCGTACATGCCCATACCAGGTGCCTGCATCCTCGGCATCCGTTTTCTGCAGCCACATGGCCAGCTCCTCAGCCCCATGACCTATAGAGACTGTGACGATCGGGCTCTGCGCCTTTGCCAGAGTGCTGTAGCATGTGTTCAAGAGTTCGTTGCTCACCCACTTGATTCCTGTTCCAATTTGCAAGTCAAAGGCATGATTGAACCAACCACTCCAGTGGCAGATTGCTTTTGTTTGACAGGGCATCGTGGTGGGCATTGACGGTCCGGCATTGTTCATCGACCAGGTGAGGGATATCGCAAAGTTTGCATCTTGTTCAGGATACGCTTCGAGTTTGAAAACAGATTGCAAATATGAAAGGGTTTCCGCTCGAGCTAGCATCAATGTCAGTACAACACATCAACGCCCAGATGCTGCAAGCGCCATCTAGGCACCCTCATAAGCAGGAACTCAGGCAGTCACAGCCCCAAACCCAGACTCCCGAACCCCTCCGCAACAGCTTGAGCACAACGTCAGGATCTGCTCCGTGGAGTGTCGTGGCCCTCGACTGGCTTCGGCTCGCCCAGCCTCTGTACAGCCTGAGTGCTCAGGATGATTGAACTGCTCAGAGTGCGCCGGGGGCTGTGGGCAGGCTGTGGGGTTTGGGGTTTTTGGAGAGCCCTGGCTTTTCACCTTGTGTCACCTTTTGAGGCTGGCACCGATTTCGTGGTTCGGAACCTGGAGGCCATTTCCAAAGCATGGGTGCAAGGGCGCTCTGTCTCTCTCTCTCTGTCTCTCTCTCTCTCTCTCACACACACCCACACCCCCACCCAACCTTACAAGTATTAATTTATACACACATATTTGTATATATATATATACGCGCACATACACGTTGTCGCCCCCCATGATTATGGTTTCAATCACTGTCCAACCCAGGGAAAAACAGTATGTTCTGATAAAACATGGTCGGAACAAGCAGCAGCGCGCACAGAGTGAACAATAAACAACACTGACCCCCACAAAAGTCGGGCTCACCAACACAGAACATCTACAGGCAGACCCCATGATCAAGAATATCCATGTAGAGTGACGGGACTTGCACATAGGAGACCTTCCCTACAGTAGGCCTTGCGAATGTCGATAGAAACAGAACAGACTAATCGGCATTTCGGGCAAGTGCAAGGTTGCCAGAGAATCTACAGGGGCAGTTGCCTCATATGAGACCATTGGGCCATTTGATCAATGGTTTCCTTCCCCCCTCCGACATCATGCTACACCCGCTGGACCATCAGATCATTAGACCACTGGACCAGTAGACGATCATAAGGTTGATAACGTTGCACGGTAGGGTTTAGAGTTCAGTTAGGGTCTTCCCGGCGGGAGATGCGAACAGCGAACTGGGAACATGCATAACCTTTCTCAGCAGTTCAACTTGACTGAGGTGTGGCACTGGGCTTCCTGACATCTGCAGTGCAGGCCTGACACCTTGTAGGCCAACATGCCCAATGGGCCCATAGGTTCCAATGATTTTAGCTCACCTTCGGTATGCTTTCACGAGTCAAAGTCAATCGCCTCGCATCTGCTTGTGACCCACTACGGATCCAAAGGTCAAGGTGTTTAGGAAAGAACTGATATGACAACGACACAAGTTGTTGTGCAATGTTATGCACACGTGTGTAAAGTTGATGTGTCATGGAGCAGCGAACAACAGCGACAGATGGCAAAACGTGACAGGTTTTGCAGTTTCACGAGTGTCACACCTGCATAGTAATTGGCGGGTACTACTTCCCATCACGGATAGCGGCAAGCGTCTTCTTTGGTGCAAGTCTTGCATCATCCACAATGCAAAGCTTCTTCCTCGCATTCGTCCGTTTTCACAAGGCACGTACCCTAGCCTGCTCAATTTTCGGAGCGGGCTTGCATGTCCGTTTTCTGAAACAGTCAGAATTTTCATGCAGCCACAGCCTGAGCCAGCAGGCTAGCGAACCTGAGCGGCCACGTTAAATTGAGTGAATGCAGAGAGGGACCCTCTGTACCATACCATGCCATGCTACGCTTGGTCACACAGCACCCCGCACATGCAGAGAAGCATTGCACATGCACACCAAGTGAAGTGCGTGCATGTGCATGCACAACTCCACACAACAACACGCCCACACGGAGCACAGACCCAAAACGACGAACAAGTGTACATGCCAATTGTTGCTGTTTGCGGGCTTTAGGCTCTTCCTGTTATGGCCCAAGGCTGCCCCTTTAGGAAAAAAAGCAGCGGAGTACCCTCGCCCGCATCTTCCCCTTCCCAAATCCTCTCACAAGTTCACCAAGTCGCCCGAATTCCACAGCAACTAGGTTGGAGGAAGTTATTCGCTTCTGTGAGCTTTCATG